ACCACCAGACAATGGGCTATACTGCTGCTATTCGCCCCTGCCAAGGAATTCTAACCTTTACTTCATGACTGCATGACCATTCCAGATTCGGCGTCTAGAAATATGATCTACTAACTCAGGCTTGATAATTTAAGGACCAGAACCCCATTCTGCCTTCTCATCGTCTACTATTGTGATTCGCAGACAGACTCTAAGACAATCCTCATAATCTGCCCACTCTTTAGTATTTAAACCTTTGTGTAATTCTTTCCCCTTAAGTGTGAGTGGAACTTCTGACTTCCTTTTGACCAATAAAATATAGCAAAGCCTATGCAATATCTCCTCTATGATGACGTTACATCATGAAGACGTGGTAAAAAGGTGGCCATCTACAAGAAAGGAAGAAACCAAATTGGATAGAACCCTGATCTTGGACTTCTTGACTCCAATCAGAGATTTTTTTTGAAGGAAGACAAGTCTACTCCCTCATTGCTAAACTCAGTCAAGGATGCCTGAGCCAGAGTTCCCATAAATGAGTCGTCTAGTCCTCTATCCTTTCAGGTCCCATACATAGCACAGTCACAGGAAAATAGAAACCTGAGACAAATTCCCCAAGGAGCCTATATCCTAGGGACCATCAGCACTTCCTATTAAATGCTCGATATAGAAAGTATAATTATGCTCCTTTTCCCTAGGCAATGATTGCTTGCTAATCCTCCTAAGGGAAGTTACCCTCAGTGTTTGTTGGAGGCTGGGGAATCTACACATCCTGGAGTAGGCTATTTTCAGTGATTCTAACATGATCTACTCTTCTAAGATTCCCTAGGTGATTCAAAGAGGTCTACATTACTCTTCTAAAAGTCAGCTTCAAGAATCCCTGCTTTGGGCCAGGGATGTAGCTCAGTGGCATAGTGCCTGACTGGCAAGCATGAGGTCCTGAGTTCGATCCCTGTTTTACCCAAAAAAGGAATCCCTGTATTGGCCAGGTATGGTGACAGACGCCTGTAATCCCAGCCCTCAGGAGGCTGAGGCAGGAGAATCACTGCAAATTCAAGGCCGGCCTGGGCTACATAGTGAGTTCTTTGGGAGGGGGTTGGTTTTTTGAGACAGGGTCTTTCTCACTGTATAGTTGAGACTGACCTGGAACTCACTATGTAGCCCAGGCTGGTCTCAAACTCACAGCGATCCTCCTGCCTCAGCCTCCTGAGTGTTGGGATTACAGGCATGTGCCACCATGCCCAGCCATAGTGAGTTCTTAAAAAAAATAAAATGCCTATCTTATCAATGAGGCCAAAACAGATACTTGTTCCCAAATACCTATTCTCTCTTTTCCTATTATTGGACACATAGCCACTCAGAATAATGACAGATTTCCTGGCCTAAGTATAGCCATAAGACTAACCAATGACATGTGAATATAAGGGATGAATGCATCTTATGCACTGTGCTCTTAAAGGAAGGAAGCTCATCTTCCCTTTCTTGTTTTCTTCTTTCTTCTATCCTATTACTTGGAAAGTGTGATGGTAAAAATCTAACTTCAACCACAAAGATGAAAACTAATATCATAAGGTGACAATAGGACCATGTAGAAAGTTCCTAGGTGAACTTAGAGAACAGAGCTGCCATACTTGCCCTCTGTCCTTTATTTAAAAGAAAAATAAAATCTAGCTTATGAAAGTCACTGTCATTTTTGGGTGTCTGTTTCTTGCAGTAAATTCTCTATTGTGTCACTAAATATAGTGATTTGTTTGGTTTCTTTTTTTATTAAAAAAACTGAGGTGACAAATTTTATCTTGCAGAGGACAGGGCACTGGCTACAGATGAAAATCAAAACCACACTAAATACATTGGGATATACTTGGCAACAAGGAGAATAGTAATCTCAGGGAAATCTAAGAATAAAAGTGTAGTTAACTTCAGGGAATTCAGAATTGGAAGCATCTCTAGGACCCTCAGTAGCAAGTGTATAGAGCATACTGCTGTATACTCTGTGATTACTATGACTCAGTTTCTTTCTTCATCTCCATTTCATTTTGTTGTTGTTGTTGTTTTGTTTTTTGAGACAGGGTCTCACTATGTAGTTGAGACTGACCTGGAACTCACTATGTAGCCCAGGCTGGTCTCGAACTCACAGTGATCCTCCTGCCTCAGCCTCCTGAGTGCCAGGATTACAGGTGTGCACCACCATGCCTGGCTCCATCTCCATTTAATTTTTATTGGTTCATTCATTGATTGATAAACAGGATCTCACTATGTTACCCAGACAGGTCTTGAATGCCTGGGTTCAAGCAATCTTCCCACTTCAATCTTCCAAGTGCTGAGACTACTGTATCTGGCCTTCACGTGTCTTTTTGTTTTTCCTCCCAAAAGCAATCAGCATCTTTACCTATGTGTGGTAGCTTTGTTCTGCATCATCACTTCTGTCTACCAATACTCACTACTCAGCCAGAGCTTTGTCTTGATTATGACCCCTTCTCTACTACTCGGCTTCTCAATGCAATTTTTGACAACTTCAATTCTTACTTCTACTGCCTGATCCATTCCTTACTTCTTAATTCATTTGCCTAAGGATGAGAAGCTAATTGCCCAAGCTTTACTTCCTAAATTAATTCAATAGCTTCTGGGAAATCTGCATATAAGTTCGGTTCCCATTCTTGTCCAGTTACAATGTCTCAGGGTTGGGAAGTTGGTATCATGTGGTACAGAGCACAACTACCTAGGACTGCTCCTTGGCAGGAGAATAGGATGGGGGTTTTCCTTACGAGGTTAAAGGGAGATGGTGGAATTGTCTGGAACCATGAGTAACATATCTTGGATGGGTGCATTGCAGAAGAATAAAAGTGAAGACCAGAAACCACTTAGGAGTCCATAACAAAAGAATAAATAGAAGACGACCAGGTACTTGTCAGTCTTATAGTAGAAGGCCTGGAGAGGAAATGATAGACAAAATATTAAAGATGCAAAACTTACAGGACCTGATAAACAGCCAGATACATGAAATGAGCAATGGGAAATATCAAGGATGATCCTCAGGGTTCTGGTTTAAATAGTCACAAGGATGAAGATAGCTATCATTGCCTCATGGAATATTGAAGGAAGTGCAAGTATCACTCATTCACTCACTTTTTTTTTAAGTTTATTTGTTTTATGAGACAGGACTTTGCTATGTAGTCCAGTCTGGCCTTGAAGTCATATATAGCCCAGGCTGGCCTCAACCTCCCAGCAATCCTCCTGTCTCAGCCTCCTGAGTACTGGGATTACAAGTGTGGGCCACCTCGTCCAGCAATTATTTTTTAAAGTCCCAGATAGTCAAAAAGCCTTGACCTAGAAGAGGAGCAACATCAGCATCACCTGAGAACTTGTTAGAAATACAAATTAATTGAGTCTTTTCTATGTTAGGCACTGTGCTGTGCTGGGTAGCACTCTCTGAAGAAGTCAAAGTTAAGAAGGCATTAGCCACATAAATTTTCCAGTACTTATACTCTATAATTTTCTACACTTCCTTCAATTAACTTCTTTCTTTCTTTTCTTCTGTCTCTTGCTTTTTTTTTCCCCAGCACTGGGGAATCAACTCAGGACCTTGTGCTTGCGAGGCAGGTAGTGGCACCACTGAGCTAAATACCTGGCCCTCTCTCTAACTTTTTTTTAAAAATTAGGGGTTGAACCCAGTACATTTGCTACATCCCCAGCCCTTTTTTCCCCCACTTAAGTTGAGATGGTTTCACTAATTCAGTTTTGCTTAGGCTGGTCTTGAATTTGCAATCCTCCTGCCTCAGCCTCCCAGATTGCTGGGATTGCAGGCATGCACCATCATGCCCAGTTATCTTTTTCATACATTTTTTGTTGTTGTTGTTTTGTTCTTTTCTGGTGCTGCAATCAGACCTAGAGTCTGGAGTATGCTAAGTAGGTTAGTACTGAACTACATCCCCAGCTTTCCTTCCTAAATTCCTAAATTCACTTACTCAATAAATATTAATTGTGCTTACTATATGTCAGGTCGCATTTCTATTCAACAAATTCAAGTGAAGATGAACATGATCTTTGGCCCAACTGAGTTTTATGGTCAGTGGTGACTTCAACGATATACAGGTTGAAGTCTATGTCTTATATTTCTATTGAGTTTTACTTTCTATTCTTCACTTAATAACCCAATAAATAGACAGGTTTTGTTTTGGTTTGGTTTGGTTTGGTTTTGACACAGGGTCTCACTATGCAGTTCAGGTGGCCTTGAACTCACTATGTAACACAGCCTGAACTCACTACTGTCCTCCTGCCTCAGCCTCCCAAGTGCTGGGATTATAATCATGTGCCACCACACTCAGCCCAGACAGTATTTACAGTGTTGCACTACAGGGCATCACTGTCATTGTCATTCTCTTCCTCTTTCTATCACCTACTCCTGTCTAACACAGTCGACATTTTTTTTTTCTTTTTTGAGACAAATTCTGGCTATGTTGCCTAGGCAACCTAGGCAGTTATCACTCAGCTTTAACTGTTTGCATTCTTCTTATATTTATTTATTTTGAGATAGGATCAAACTATGTAGTTCAGACTGGCCTTGAACTCAGTATGCAGCCCAGGCTGGCCTTGAAATTGCAATGATCTTCCTGACTCAGCCTTCCCCGTGATGAGATTACAGGTGTGTGACACCTTATCTAGCCATCTGTTTGCATTCTTGAGAGCTCACTTTAGATCTTCTACTCTTCTCACTCAATTCCTTAGGTAATCTTATTATATTCCTATGACAAAATATCAAGGTGCTATTGACTTTCAAAGGTATAGCTTTAGTTCTGATATCTATTCTGAGCTCATATTAATATCTCTCAGGCATCTCTAACAAAATATGTTCCTTTTTTGTTTTGTTTTGTTTTGTTTGTCGACAGGGTCTCACTATGTACTTGAGACTGACCTAGAACTCATTATGTACCCAAAGCTGATCTCAAACTCAGAGTGATCCTCCTGCCTCAGCCTCCTGGGTGCTGGGATTGTGCACTACCACACCCGGTTTTGTTCTTTTTTTTTTTTAAATGGAATGCTTCATGAATTTACCCATCATCCTTGATCAGAGACCATGCTAATCTTCTCTATCATTCCAATTTTAGTATATGTGCTGCCGAAGTGAGCACAACAAAACATGTTCTTGAAGATCTTTCTTGAATGTCATGATCATTCATATTTATTCTTTCAAATTCTACCACTGGCTCTTTTGGTATGCCGTACTTACATGACAAAATCAAAACCTCAGCTAAATCCAGTTTTCTGATCACTACTTGTATGTACTGGGACAGCTGAACAGAGCAGGAAAAATATGAAACTATACAACAAATTTATGACTATAAATCTTAAGTGGATCTTACTGTTGCCCAACAATCACACTGCATGTCCTTGATTTCACTCTCCCTTCTCCTAGGTGACTATTTTATACATTTTGGTTTTTTTTGGGGGGGGTACTGGGGATCGAATTCAGGACCTTGTGCTTGCGAGGCAGGTGCTGGAACCATTAAGCTCAATCCCTGGCCCTTCCTTCTTATTTCAAAAGACAACTTCTGCCACAGATTTAGCTCAGTGGTTTTGCACCTGCCTTGCAGGTACAGGTCTTGAGTTCGATCCCCCCAGGACTATCACTCCAGGGCTGGAGGTGTGTAGTTCAAGGTAAAATGCTTGCCAACATGCTGAAAGCACTGCTGGGGCTCATTCCCTGGCACCACAAGAAAAACAAAACAAATGTGTGCGTTGATTTGTTTCATTCATACCACTAGTCTATCTTAGTTGAAAAGAAAGTATTGTGTTATTACCTGATTGTTTCTGTCTTGGAAGAATCTTTTGGGTTTGTGTCTTTTACACCAGTAACTACTTTGGTACCAGGGACTGAACTCTGGACCTTGTGCTTACGAGGCAGGCAGCAGAACCACTGAGCTAAATCCCCTGCCCCTCCCAATAACTACTTTGAAGATGAGGATACACTGTGTAATAACTATTGTCATTCTCACATTACTTTGTTATAAAATTTTGATTTCTTTTTTTCGTTAAAAAAAATCACTTCAGAAATGCAACTCCAGGCCAGGAATTTAGCTCAGTGGTTCTGCCACCTACCTCTTTTCCTCTTCTCTCCTGGATCATTCCATCAACATACAAGAATGATATATCTCAAATTTAAGGTTTCAGGCCAGGGATTTAGCTCAGTGGTTCTGGCTCCTGCCTCGAAAGCCCAAGGAGCCTGAATTCAATCCGGGGTACCAAAAGAAATTTAAGGTTTCTCTGGCCTCATTTCTACCACAAGCTATTCTTAGTGTTTTATTGCTCCCATGTGCAGTAAAATTGCTAAGATTTATTCATATACACTACCTCCAATCTCTTTCCCCTACTCTTATGCTACTTCTAATCTCTTTTCTCCACTCTGTTTTAAAACTTTTTGCTACACAATTTATAAACATATGTAACAGGGCAGGTGTGGTAGCGCACACCTGTAATCTCAGCACTTGGGAGGCTGAGGCAGGAGGATTGCCATAAATTGGCGACCAGCCTGGACTACATAGTGAGTTCAAGTCCGGCATGCACTACATAATGAGACCCTGTCTCAAAAAACAAACAGCAAACACGCAGAGTCAAGTGTGATGACATTCATCTGTAATCCCAGCACTCAGGAGGCTGAGGCAGGAGGATCACTTGGAATTCAAGGCCAGCCAGAACTACATGGTAAGACTCGCTCAAAAATCAAAAACAAAATAAAAAGAGTACAGAAAAAGCTAAAAAACACGTGCAAATAAACTTTTGTTGTTGTTGTTTTTGTTTTTTGTTTTTTAGATAGGGTCTCTCTATGTAGTTGAGACTGAACTGGAACTCACTATGTAGCCCAGGCTGGTCTCAAACTCATAGAGATCCTCCTGCCTCAGCCTCCTGAGTGCTGGGATTACAGGCATGCACTACCATGAGTGGCCAACTTTTTTTCTTTCTAAATAGGGCTAGCATAAAATTTATGGTTGATCCTACTGCCTCAGCTTCCTGGGTGCTGGGATTACAGGCATGTGCCACCACACCCAGTCATTGAATAATCTTCCTGGAAGAGAGAATTTCTAATTTGGAATTAGCAGGAATAGAAAACATCTGGGGGCCAGGGATTTACCTCAGCGGCCCTGCTCCTACCTCGCAAGCACAAGGTCCTGAGTTGGATCCCCAGTACCCCCCGCCCAAAAAAGGATCATTTGAGCAAGGAAGCAGGATCAAGATAAAAAATTGAAGCACTATCTGTAGAACAGCTATGCTACCTGACATCCTTCTTTCTATCCATGTGTAGCCAATATCTTCCATGTTATTTCTAAGTATGTACATCCTGAGAATAAGTAGAAAAATATACCTAGGAGTTTTGATGCCATATGACTCCTTGTTTTGGTACTGGGAGTGGGGTCTCTTGTTACCTAAGCTTTTCCTCATTTTAATTATTTATTTTCCTTGGGGGGAAAAAACCATACCACCAAATTTATCAGTTAAATTTTCTGATATGGAATTCAGAAACTTCATCTTCCATACACTCTTATTGAAAAAGCATATATCGCTGAGTACAAGTGTGTATTACAGAAAAAAAAAACAAAACATAAAGGAACTAAAAAAAGAGGATGATATAAGAAGGAACAATTGACCACATGAAAATGCCATGTTCTCAGCACTCTGAGAGCCTGAGGCAAGAGGATTATACTGGGCAGGATCCCAGCACTCCAGAAACTGAGGCAGGATGGTCACGGCAAGTTCAAGGGCAGCCTGAACTACACAAGGATTGCAAGCCCTAGCCCAGCCTGGGCAATTTAGTGACACAGTGAGACCCTGTCTCAAAATAAAAAATAAAAAGGGCTGGCGACATGGCTCGGTATGAAGGGCCTTGGCTCAATTTAGCTATACAGTAAGTCCAAAATGCAATTAATCCAAGTCATAATAAGCTAAGAGTTAAAATGGAGAGAAGTGACGGAGAAAGGGAATAAAAATGATCAAGAGGTGATAAGCAGATGAACCAATCCTCCAAGATGAATGTAATTATGATTCGGTGGGAACACACACTAATAAAATGAGTTAAAATGGACTAGCCAAATAAACCTTTCATCCTCAAAAAAAAATAAAAATAAAAAATAAAAAAAATAAAATGGACTGAATGCCTTCAAATGATAGTGTGTTTATGAAGAAGAAATATAATGATATGACAAAGAAGATAGTCTGCCGCACAGGTGCACTGTCCTGAGTTTGATCCCCGATACCAAAAAGAAAGAAGGAGATCCAAATTTCTTAACAACAACAAAAAAGAACAGCTATTACAATTTTTTAAAAAACATAAAGCCATAGTCTAAAAATGAAGCAAAACAAAATATAGCTGATATTTTAGCAACCAATCGCCCCCAAAAAATTCATTTGGCCCTAACGTTTCTATTTCTGTTGTGAAAGTTTTATAATTTTGAGGTTAGATTTCTTAAAATTCCTAATAGACTCGGTGACATACGTGTAAACATCAGCCATTATTAACTGTGCTAGTTTCAGATCCATTTCTTGCTGTTCCTCTGCTCTATTATATTGTAGGGTCTGATTCATGCAAGTTGCATTTCTAAAGTTCTTAACCTGATTATTCTTGGTTAATGGGAAGGATGGGCAGGCCTCTGCTTTTGGCAGCATCTACAACATTGCCTATGTCTTTTCCATGGTTTCGGGTCTCCCCAGAGTCTCTTCCTCCCTAAGTCAGCTCCCACAGAGCGTCCTTCCCCCTGTAGTTTCAGTTCCCACTGAATGGTCCCCACTGGTAGGCCTGTTAACACCATCGCTGCTGATTCTTCAGCCTAAAGTGATGTGGGCTTCCTGCTATGGCTAATTTCTACGTTGCCTTCCCATCCTGCTTCACTTCCAACACATTTGTAACTAGCTCCTTGTATAAAATTCCTTTCATTTTACTACATGGCATGGGCCCTGTTTCCCTGAATGAACTCGGATAGATATCTTGGAAATGGAATCCAAATCAAAGATGAAATTTGTTTCATATACACCTTATACACATAGCTTGAAGGTAATTTTATACAGTATTTTTAGTGTGCTTTTGTTTTGACTCTGACCTGTGATATGATATCTAGGTGGAATTTTCCGCTAGTGGGATCACATTGGTATTTAAAAAGTTTCAGATTTTGGAGTATTTTAGGTTTCTGATTTCTGTATGTCCTATTGGTCCTTTTCACTTACTAATATACTAGGTATGGTATCCAGTTGTCCTAATTATCCCTTTTACTTAGTCACAAGGAAAGCACAAGACACACCGAGAGAGAGAGAGAGAGAGAGAGAGAGAGAGAGAGAGAGAGAGAGAGAGAGAGAGAGACTTATGTATACAATTAGGGATTTAGAAAAGTTATGGCTTGGCCAGGGATTTAGTTCAGTGGTTGTGCCACCTGCCTCACAAATGCAAGGTCCTGAGTTCGATCCCCATACCCCCCCCAAAAAAAAGAAAGAAAGAAAGAAAAGATATACCTGTGATTTTCCAGAAGTAGGATATATAACTACCTTCACACATATGCACCTATGTACTAACCTGCACTTTGGCCCAAGACTGGACGGTTCTGATCTAATCAGCTATTCACACAGTGGGCAACTTTTTTTTTTTAATAATTAACAAGAGCAGCAGTAACAAGGTAGGTCCAAGACCAGTTGCTCAAGAGTATCTCTGAGAACTATGCTTCTCAGTAAAGCCAAAGAAATCATCCTCCTGGGCTTCTTCATCTCTATTCGGTTGCTAAGCAAAATTATAAAATTAATTTCCCCAGGCTAGTGTAAGCCACTCCTTAGCTACTGTGATGCTTTCTGAATGATAACAACAGATAAGAATTACACTGTTGAGACTTGGTGCTTTGAAATAGGAATGTAGCACACTCCAGGATCTCTCCCAGGACTCAATGTGAACTCTCAAGCCTATCTTTGCTTTGTTTGTGACAGAAGTTTATAAATGCAGCTGGTTGACCAGCCAGTTTTCAAAGATGTAACCTTTAACCTATCTAAAAATCTAAAGATATACAAATTATTTTGTAATCATCAAGTGTTATGAAATGATCTTTCCAAAAGCCTTGGGGCAGATGACAGAAAGTATAGGCAGGAATGCTTAACCAATTAT